ATGATAGAAGGTAGTGATGGGTTAATGGTAGACTGAAAACTTTCCTTTTTGATAAAGCTTCTAGTTAGAGTGGCTCAGGTTATCCTGAGCTATCTCTATAGTTCTGCTGCTATAGGCTTAGACTGCTGGAGGACATAGGGACCCCTTTTTCATCATTCTATCTCTATTCTCCCATTCTGCAGTATTTGTTAAGTCAATTTCTAACTCTCCGTTCTGTTTCCTCTCCACTGTTGCTACATTCATGCTTTGTGTTAGGGATTGCTTTCTAGTCAATGAGTCGATGCAATCAGGTGGTTTTCCTTAAAAAACTGTGAACCAATCTGACTGGATGATCTGGTTGAAATGTCTCTGTTAAGTGCCTTGAGATGATGTGTTGTGAATTGGCACTAAATAAACAAACAGAATTGAATATCTAAACATTGAAGTTTGAGCTTCTGGAGCTGTTCTTCTGAACCATGATGGACGGAAACAACTAGAAAAACCTCCTGACGTCCAGTTTTACAGCTGCAGGCTGCATGGATTTGAATCAAAGTGCTTCACTTAAAAGCAAAGCTGAATGATTTAGCCAAAAATCAAAATTGCAGTTGTGATTTTACTTTGGTTTTCCTTTGCATTAACCAAACATGTTAATGTTTCAATACAGGGTTTCAGTTTTTTCATGACCTGGAAAGCTTGCTTGTCCAGAGTCCTTTATTGTAGGACTTTACTGTAACCTTTTGTCAGGTGATCAATTCTACTTGCTTGCATGAATTTGCATGCTAGCTGCCCCTCTCTCCCCGCCTGTGCGTCTGCAAACAGACTTTAAGCATATTACCCCCAGCTAAAGGGCTGGAAGGATAAATTTAGCTACATAATCTAATAATAAAATTGATTGGCTCTGCAAATTGAAAACTATGTTTTGTTAAATTGCGATTATTTTGCAAATGCAATTAATTGTCCGGCTCTACTTTAAAGCGAGAGGAAATGAAAAGCTTAACGTTTCCAATGAACGAACCCGTGCAGTCACATGCAGATCACATTCTGACCCGAGGAGATTTGTTCTGGTTCTGCATCACTTCACTCCTTGTTGCTAAAAGCTTCAATGACAAATAGAATCTGAATCTGCAAATCAAATACTACAAATGTGTTAAAAACATCCCAGTGAAAACCTCAACCATATTTGGACTTTGGAGGAATCACAGCAGCTTTTCTTTTATGAGAGTTAATAACAGGAGGAGAAAAATCAGAGAAACTAAAACCTCTGCTACGCATTTTACTGCTTTTCTCTGTTTATTTTAACAGCAGCAGTTCATAGGAATGAATTAAGAGAAACCTGATTGGTGCATCTCTGGTGAGAAAAAAAGTAAATGTTTCCGGCTGTTCTCACCTTGGTTTCATCCAGCCGTCCATAAACCTGCCAGAAGTATTTAGTGAAGAGATCCTTACTGATGGGCTGGCCGTTGATTCGGATCCTCTCTCTGACCTGGACCAGGTGAGGAGAGCTGGAGCAGAAACAGAGCAAGAAAATTATCCAATTAGACGATTTTATTCACATTTAAAAAAAAATTAAAAAACCCACAATGATCGATATTAATGGGGCACTTTAATGACTTTGATGTGAAGGAAAAACTCAGAGCAGCTCTTATACCCCGTTTACACTACCCTTAAAAAACTGAGCCG